CCCTAAATGTTTGTACAACCAAGAAAAAAATGTATTCAAAGAATATTTTCTTGGTTACTTAGACATTTCTCTAAATATCTCCTTTTGTGTTCCACAGAAGAAAGATAATGCATGAGATGAAGAGACATCAGGACGATCTGCTACAGTAAGATGAGGCAGATTTACAGTGATTTTACCACAGTAAAGGCTGTTCTGAGAACAACTGGCAGAGTGTGTGATGGAAAAACAGAAGGAGAGAAAGCTGGAAGACAGAGCAGATGGACGAGTGAGAGGAGAAGACAGAGAGAGTCAGATCTGCAGCTGTCAGGACCTCACTGATATCAGATCAAAGGTCAAAGGTCACGCCCACCATATCTGCAGGGCGGCTGGAGGTGTTTCCTGTGACACACTTACACACACTCACACACGCACACACACACACACAGTCACACACACACACACACGACCCTCGTTAACCCATCCGTTAATGTTCACGTGTAACGGGACACACAAACACCTCCAGCGCTTTCCCAGAGTTCCTCAGTCAAATCACACAAAATGACCACCTTCATCTGAGCAAGAGACAGCTGCAGCGGCGCGAGACTGAAGCGTCTGAAGAGCTCAGGAACGTCTGGAGTCTCTGACCGCTTCACATCTGATGACACAAGAACACTGGAAATATTCTGAACACTGCAAAATCTGTTGCTCTTCCTCAGTATTTTCCTAAGATCAACATACAGTTGACAAGTTGAGTCTGAGAAATGAATCAAAAAATAAGTGAGTTTATCATCAAAACAAGAGCAAATATCTGTCAATGGGGAATGAAAAATAAAGTCAATTTAAAAGCAAAACAAGATTATTTTTCTCAGCCCACTGACAGATAGAGTCAGGTCCATATACTGTATATTTGGACACAGGCACATTTTTTATTATTTTAGCTGTTGACCAAAACAGTAACTGAACAGTTGACTCAAAAGCTGTTTCGTGGACAGATGTGGGCTATTCCTTCGTTATTCCCTTCATAAACCCAGTCTCTGCTGATCTCCATGAGCTCCAAACGTAAGGCAGTCATCGCCTGCAAAGGATTCTCAAAATATTAAAAATGAACATTTTATTTATGATCATATTTATTTGTTCAATTACATTTGAGCCTCTGAAAATGGGGGGACGGTGTATAAAAATGGTTGTAATTCCAAGCATTTTATGTTATATTTTTGTTCAACCCCTTGAATTAAAGCTTAAAGTCTGCACTTCAATGTCATCTTCATTGTTTCATTTTAATTCTATTCTGGTGGCACACAGAGCCAAAATCATGAAAACTGTGTCAGCGTCCATATATAGTGGCGTTGTACATTATATTGAGACGGAGGGAGGCGCCAGAACTGCCGCTGATAGAATGTGCGCTGTAGCACGAAACAACGATATTTCTTCAAAAGCAGATCGTGGAGACGTTCAAAAATCGTCATATCGCACACCCCTAACTACCAAGTATAATCAACCTCACACACACAAACAAGCACAACGAAATCACTTCACACTATTAAGCGGCTGTGTTATGAACATGCAAAACTGTATCGCACGCGTGCTACAGTGGTAAATTTATTCATCGCACAGACCAGATTTTAATAGCTGTCAGTATATATATGTCGCACTGTACAGCCCTGATTTGTTCTTGTTTTAAACATTAAGGCTCAGATAGAAACAGAGAGAGACTGAGACACTGAACTTCTGCTCCAGCCAATCACAGAGCAGCATTCCACAGGCACAGGAAGTGCAGAGGACGGGGAGGGTCTGATTACAGGAAGTGAGCTGCAGTCCTGTGCCGTCTCCTCCTCTCTAATGGCTTTTCAATCTGTTCTCCGTCTCTACAGTGAAGACGGATGAAGACATTTTGTGAGTCGACTGACCAGAACTGATCGTGAGAGGAGCGACGTCACTGGAGCTTCATCACATCAAGCCTGATTCAGATTCAGAGTCTGACCAGAGAAATCATGCTAGAAATGAGCTGAAAAAGTGCTCACATGATCATCTGAGATCAGGATGAGTTTGTTTCTTCATCAGGTTTGTAGAAATGTAGCACTGCATCAGTGTCTCAGCAATGGATGCTCTGCAGTGAATGGGTGCCGTCAGAATGAGAGTCCAAACAGCTGATAAAAACATCACAATAATCCACAAGTAATCCACAGCACTCCAGTCCATCAGTTAACATCTGGAGAAGACAAGAGCTGAAACTAATCCAGCATTAAGACGTTTTTAACTAAAATACATAGAGTCCAGACAGAAAACACAGCATCTGATGCGTCTCGCTGGGAAACATCCTCAATCTGTTCAATCAACACGACAAACTCAATCTACATACAATCAGTGGCTTTATTTGCTAAAAGGGAATGTTGTCAATTCATTTACTCATCTTCACACAGCTCATGATGAACAATCAACAACACCATAGAAGTATTTTAACATTATGCTGCTGTATCATTTTGCTAAAGCCTCTAAATGATCAGGATGATCAAACTCTGCTGTTAAACCCGTTTCATCTCCTCATGTCTTCTGTCTCTGATTGAGAGTTTAGAGTGTTTTATCCAGTAAAAGCTCTCGTGTCTTTCTGCTGTCAAATCTTGACTGGTTTTTATCAAGTAAGCGTCAGAATAACTGCAGTAATATCTCCAGATGAACTCTTACTGGACTGAAGCAGCTCAGCTTTACTTGATTCTATCTCATCTTACTGAGACAGATTACTGGAGATATAGAGCGACCGCTGATATTCAGATCATTTTATGTCAGTATCTGCTCTACTGTTAGAAAGATCTCACTGATTTACATTTCATCTCACTTTTTGGCCAGGGTAGAAAATAATAATTCATATTTTACACTAGTATTGAGTTCTGAAACTTGCAGTATGTTTTTATTGTAGAGAAAACAATGTTTTTATTGTGTGTGTGTGTAAACTCACTCACTCACACACACACACACACACACGCACACTCACTCTCACAGACACTCACACACTCACTCACACACACACACACACACATGTTGTGTATTCATCACGTTATACACACACACACAGAACACGCTTACACAGCACCAACACACACTGATCACATATACCACGGTAATCCTGCAGCAGGTCACTCTGGTACAGTCCTGGCCAAAATGATCAGAACACTAGTATTCTCAGCAGCTAAAATGGTTTTAAGTCAGTTATTTCCATCTTTTGCTGTAGTGATAGATGATTCTCAACTATGTTATAACGTTGATTTGATATAACATTTTTCTTTACGCAAAATGTGTGTAAAATTGCCATAAACGGGTTTTCCCATTATATAATATGTATCTATAAACTGTATCTAATTTGCATATTAATGTGTTTTTGGGGCAACATGTAATGAAAAAAGAAGTGTAAT